CAAAATAAATAAATAAATAAATAAATAAATAAATAAATAAATAAATAGTATAGGTGCGTGAATTCAGCAGAACAATCCAACACAGTCCAGAATAGTAGTGGGTTATCCACAGAGGCCCTTAGGACAATATTTAATGCTAATGGGTTTTAACATACTCTGTATTTTTTGATCTATTGCTGTCACTTTTGTTTTCAATGCTTATCTTGTAAGAGTCTCTTTAAGTTGGCTTATATCCTTTTTTTCTTTCCCTTTTCCTCTTTTCCCTCCTCTTTTATCCCACTCCTTTTCTTTTTAAAAATTAGATAGGGTCTCATCATGTTGCCTAGGCTGTTCTCTGGTTCCTGTGCTCAAGCAGTGTGCCTCAGCCTCCCAGTTGCTGGGACTGCAGCTTGTGCTCTTGTGCCCAGCTGCTTGTACCCTTCTGATATGGTCTTAATAATCTTTATTTATTTATTGAGAAAACTTGCTTTGATCCTCCTGCCTCAGCCTCCCAGGTGCTGGTACTACAGGAATACAGACCATGCCCAGCTGGCAGTGTAATTTTTGTGGCCTGCTCAGCCCACCCTGGGGGGTGGGGCTGGTATGGCACATGCCAGGGATCAAACTGTGGTCCCTGCACTTGTGTCAGGTCTTTGTGTCAGCTGAACTATCTTGGCCCACAAGACTTTTTTTTTTTCTGGAACCACGGATTGAACTCAGGTCCTTGAGCCTACCAGGCAAGTGCTTATTCTATTGAGCCATCTCCCTGGCCCTTTTCTTTTCTTTTTTTGCACAAGACTACTTTTTGAGCAGCAGATCTGTTTATATTGGGTTATAGTTAAATCTTCTGAGCACTATTGGATTAGGTTTGAAATTGGTGGATCTTTTATTTTATTATTTATTTATTTATTTTTTCTTTTTTGGCAGAACCGGGAATTGAACTCAGGCCCTTGTGCTTGCCAGGGAAGTGCTTATTCTACTGAGCCATCTCCCCGGCCCCGGATCTTTTATTTTTAAATTGGTGGATCTTGATTTGTTTTCTTTTTGATGGTGCTGGGGATTAAACCCAGGGCCATGAGCATGCCAAGCACATACTTCATCCCTGAGCTATTGCTTTTCTGCCTTTTGGCTGAGATCAAGTGTAGTGTCTCCACCTGAGCTATACTCTCCACCCAGCTTCTTGTACTGCATTATTTTTGACTTACATTAAACATAAATTTCAGTAACTAAATTCCACCATACCTCCCTTAGTTGGCATTATCAAGGGAAAGTGTCAGCAACTGATACCAAGATATAACTTTACTAATACTGGTTTTATCCCACAATAAGAAACTGCAACAGTAAACTTGCTTTCTTTGGAAAGAGAAAGTGTTGGGGTCATTTGGACTGGCAATACAACTCTTTATTTTTAGAGAATGTTTGATTTAAAACTTTTTTTTTTTGTACCAGGGATCAAACTCAGGACCTTGTGCTTGCCAGGCAGTCAATTAATGCCACTACGCTATCTCCCTGGCCCTAAAACTATTTAATGCTTGCACTCAAACTTTTGTTCTTTGAAGTTATTGACCTATATGTAACTTAATACATTACAGCAAATAAATGTATCAGTCTGTTCAAATATACTACAAAAAATAGCTTTGGGAAAGACCAAGATTTAGGATTAGTATAGAAGGCACTTGGAAAGGGCATACATCTTTTGGAAGCCCAGGGCAGAGGAAGCCAGTGGCACAAAACAGGATAGCTGGGTGTGGAAGGACATGCCTAGAATCCCAACATTTGGGAGGCCAAGGCAGGAGGATCACCTTCAGTTTGAGGCCAGCCTGAGCCACATAGGTTTGAGGCAAGACTGAACTACATAGCCACACCCTGTCTCAAAAAAAAAAAAAAAAAATTGTTGAAAGTATGAAAAGGAATTTCTGGAACCTTATATTTGGCTTGTTTACTATTTTATGTTAGTGGTCTGAGATTCAGCAGCCAACCAGACCATGGTTATATACTAGGGAACTTTTGACTCTAAACTGAAAATTTTAATAACATTATAAAAATGAAGTCAAAACACAGTACACTTGGGGCTGGTGAGATGGCTCAGTGGTCTAAAACACCTACTTAGAACAAGCAAAGCACGGGGACCTCGTTTCAATCCCCCAGCACCACATGCCAGCCCGCCCGCCCCCTGGTGGGCTGAGCTGGCCACACACAAAAAATAAATAGATATTAAAAAAAACCCAACAGTACACTTAATGATAATCTTTATATATATTTTCAGGAACCCAAGTGAAAACAAGGCAACTGGGGATAGTGGTACATGCCTATGATCCTAGTACTCTGGGAGGTTGAAAAAGGACAGCAAATTTGAGCCCAGTTTGGACAAATTTAAGAGATTGTATCACAAAATAAAAAAGCCTGAGGATTTCACCCAGTGTTAAGGCCCTGGATAGTTTCCTAGTTTAAATAAACAAATATAAATGAAACACAGAACAAGCATAAGACAATTTAGGCAGGGAACACTTTTTATTCAAAACTCATCAGAGAATGGACAATTTGGGTCTGTGACAAAGCATTCATGTTTTAAAGCATAGGTCAGTAATTGAATGAGAGTATACACTGCTACATATGAATTAACTGATCAGACCACTTTTCAGTGTTTTAAGACAAAATAAGCTTCCCTGTAAAAGCAGCACCTTTGTGACATTCTTAATATTCCTCTCCTTCCTCCTCACCTTCTCCTTCCACAGAATCCACACCAACCTCCTCATAATCCTTCTCGAGGGCAGCCATGTCCTCCCGGGCCTCAGAAAACTCCCCTTCCTCCATCCCCTCACCCACGTACCAGTGAACAAAGGCACGCTTGGCGTACATCAGATCAAATTTGTGGTCCAGGCGAGCCCAGGCCTCAGCGATAGCTGTGGTGTTGCTCAGCATGCACACAGCCCGCTGTACCTTAGCCAGGTCTCCACCAGGCACCACAGTGGGAGGCTGGTAATTAATGCCCACCTTGAAGCCAGTGGGACACCAGTCCACAAACTGGATGGTACGCTTGGTTTTGATGGTGGCAATGGCAGCATTGACATCTTTGGGGACCACATCACCACGGTACAACAGGCAGCAAGCCATGTATTTACCATGGCGAGGGTCACATTTCACCATCTGGTTGGCTGGCTCAAAGCAGGCATTGGTGATCTCTGCTACAGAAAGCTGTTCATG